GAAAAAAGAATTATCTTGAGAGGTGCACAGGATCACGACATAATTTGGCTCAACCTCATTATGTTATAGGGTCACAGTAAACCAAGAATACAAGCACTAAAATAACAGATAAAATTTTCACAATGAAAGCAAAATCTGTCTGTATAAAATATTTTTCCACTCGCCAATGCAGAAGCATCATTAGCATCCATACAAACCAAAATTGGAAACCAGGCATAGAAGTATACATGCTACAATTTTAATTTGAATAGATTCGGAGCTATCTAATACCAATGCTGGCAAAACATAGTCTCTAGAAACACGGAGACACATCCATATAATTCTTGACATAAGTAATTAACTAAACCATTAAATTCAAAAAGTCTGATAACATATCCTTAAACATTAGTAGACAAATCTGATTATGTTTGTGAACGATAGACTAAGAATCGTACATATTAATAACTTATAAAACCACATACCGGCAAACAAAACTGCAATTTAAAACTCAGTTTTTCTACTTATTAATTATGTCAAGTCCATAACTCATCCGTTAATCATCGCGAAACAAGGGATTTCTCTACTGCATCAAGTTCACTTCCACAAAATGCCCTTAAAATGCCTCCCATCACCCAACCCAACAAACCCCAGAGAGAAAAGTTTATAAAGACAAGCCATCAAATATAAGAACCCTAAAATGGGAACATTCCAATAACAAAAACCTAAAAAGGTGAGCGATAATCTCAGCAACAGAAGCTAAAATCAACCAAATCTCTCTCAAGTCTGCAGTCAGAATCTAATCGAGAACTACACAACAACAGCGTCTATCGATAATCAACTCAAAGACAATTACAACAACGATCGGACAGAACATCACCTTGCGCACATTCTTACCTATTAAAACCCATACACGAAGGCAGAACCCACAAAAGAAACGAACTACAGGCGCGTACAGTGTAAGGGAGAGCAAGAATTGGTGATGCAGGAGACCTACGAGAGATCTCTTCCAGATTTTGTTTGCCTTCTCTCTTTTGGAGCCTTTGCTTCCTTTTAATTCTTTTTATTATTATTATTATTATTATTTGCTTGCCCGTTTTCTTTTCTGTTTGTAATTTTTTCTTTTACTTACAACCAATTACTTTTTCTTGTCTTATTCCACACTAGTACAACGCCCGTGTATTACACGGGTGCTTGTTAATTTTTTTTTTTAAATCTAAAATTAGTGAGAAAAAGTAGTTGAAAATTTAAATATCTTTTATATATATTGTTATATATTTAGTATGATACTTTTTATTTGTGCAACTTACATGTGTTATATTATAATAATTTTTTAAACAAATTACAACATATAACTACATTAAAAATAAATATATCAATTGAGAAATAATTTTAATTTTTCTAATGAATTTTAGTAAATATTATTAATTTTATTATTATAAAGATAAATATAATTTATTTATTTCATATATATAACATGGATGTCAAATCGAAGCTCATCAAAAGATGATTAATTTGATATATTATATATGTAAAACCGATAAAAAATACAAAAGTTATCAACTTTTAAAATACATTTATAATTCAATAGCTAATTGAAGGAAACAAATCAAAAGTCGGGGATATATTAGTCACTTAGTGCCTCAGTATGTAAAATTACAAAGAAATAAAGGGTTATATTAGTATAAATGATATTAAAATATCTAAGTTAGCTAAATAATATTTATGGAATGTTCAAACCTACCTTATTATTATTAATTATTAATATATCAATATTATTTGTCCAAACCTAATTACGAACCATGATTCTTTGCCAAGTAGGATTCCGAAGCACCAGAAACAGCCACGTAGGCTTAACGCATTCGGGAATAATATATAGGGAGGATTTTCCTTCTTCCAAATCACATCACGGATGTAGGATTAGACTTGTCAAAACGGGCTGAGGCCGCGGCCGCCCCACCTCGCCCCGCCAAAAGAGTAGGTCAGGTTGGGATGTTAGAGGCCCGCGCAGATTCTGGGCTTTGTGGGGGCTGGCTTGTCTTTTTTTTTAAAAAAAAAATTATATATATATAGGGGTGGATCCAATGAGTTCACTCTTTAAAATGAGTATGTGAGACTCAATCTTAGTCACTCATTTTCCTTAGATCAAAATCAATTAAAATATGCATTAGTTAAATAATAAAATAATTATTAGTTGACTTCTGGCATTGATCGTTGACTTCCGGCGTCGTTGACTTCCGACGAAAATTGTTGACTTCCAGTGTTGACTGTTGACTTTCGCGTTGACTTGTTGCCCCTGGTATGCAGTATGTATGGAGTAAATATGCATCCAATACAATGCATTTAATATGAACTAAATATGCATGGGGTATGAATTACACATGCAGTCCTTGTGAACTAAATATGCATCAATAATATCAACTAAGTATGCACCTGTTTATAACTAAATGTGCATCTGTTATGAACTTAATATGCATCATGAATGAACTAAATATGCAATAAAATGTACATTTTATCTAGGTAATTTATGATGCATATTTAGTTCTTACGAAAAGCATATTTAGTTCATGAACAGTGTATACCTAGTTTATTTGAGATCCAATCATAACAATTTATTTGTTGTTATCATCCAACCCGGTAAACCTCAATTAAGTCCAGAAGACTAACCGCTTAACGAACAACTTACGGTGACGACTATAAGTACCTTCACTCCGGCTCAAGCACGGGACACATCTCGGACCCAACCGAATCGAAGCCGACAACAGCCAACACTTCGAGATCAAATAAAACCGAGGTCAACAAAAACAAAGCTGGTGACGAGGCACCTACGAGACATGTTCGCACACCGAGACTAACACCATCATTTCCAGTGGGCACCGCTGATGCTGTCGCCCACCAAAAAGCCACTTTATAAAAAGTTACCGTACATATCTCATAGTCAGTGTAAAAAAGCTTACTATAAATAGCAGATTCTCATACTTGTACCAAAAAAATCTCTAAACATTGCCATATAAACACGAAACAGCTCCAACAGCTTTCACCTCGGGCCGAGGCCATCGTCTTTGTTTTATTACATGTTTTGTGTTAATTATCCATACAAATCGATCTTGCATCTAAATAAACTCGTTGTTGTAATCCACATAACAACAATTTGGCACTAGAGGAAGGGGCCTCATAAGTTATTTGAGGTTAATCTCCCGTCATCAACACAGTCACCTAACATCTGAGTCATAGCAAACTTCACATCTGCAACATGACGCAATCTGAACATCGCGGTCGTATATCTAGGGACGGTCACAACCGTGGGACGGCCCAATCAGCTAGGCGAACTAGCATGGGTCCTATCCCTACAGATTACACTGTACTGTTTCAGAACCCAAATTTTGCGCGAGGTTTAGCCACTTTGTTGGCTTAAACTATACTAGGAACTTCAGTTGTTGTCCCGTGTCGTTCTGTTATTCAATCAACTCTCGGTAATCCTTGTATCCCGGAGATTCAAAGACGAGGGGCCAGGCAAGAAGCTTCACATTCTACTTCTCAACCGCATAGTCGGGTCTCCCACCAACGCCTGGAGCAGGAAACACGTCATAATGAAGCTACTGATATTCTTCATGTTATACATCATGAAATTACCGCCGAAAGCCAATCCGGTCACCATCGAAGGGTGTCACCAAATAGACAACCTCAAGTCCCTTCACCCCCGGTGCAGGCGGACTTGCGTCAACAAATCGAAAGAAATCGTTCAGCTCGGCAAGATTCAACTAAGTTGGAAATGTTGCGAAAAAAGATAGCCAAATTGGAAAGTCGGCAAAAAGCACAAGACGATTCACCATACCGAGCATCCACCTTGGCGCAAGTTTATTTGGAAGCTGATTCTTCGTTGGCTCCCGAACTCACCTTGGAGCCAGACCCCGTAAGAGTCAAAGTACCATAAATCGGGTTGTATGATGGAACATCAGACCCCGATGCCCACCTCAGTCACTATACCTCTTGGATGTATCTCCATGGTGCGTCGGATGCACTTCGGTGCCGCATGTTTTCCCTCACACTATGACCCCGAGCTAAAAAATGATATCATTCTTTACCTCCTCATTCGATCTGGAAATGGCAGCAGCTGAGGTCAACTTTTCGATCTCACTTTATCAGGGCCCAAATCTGTTTAGTTCCTACGAAATCCATTGCTAATATCACTCAAAAGGATGATGAAAGTGTCAAAGATTATGTGGCTCGATTTAATGACCGAGTTCAGAATATAGAACCTTGTCATCTGAAGACCCTACTCGTTATGGCTATAGCGGGGTTGAAACCAAATTCAATTTTTCGATGGACGTTGTGTCAAAAAAACCACATACGTTTCAAGAGCTTTTAGCTCGCGCTTAACAACATGTTACCGCCGAAGAATTCATGTTTGTCCCCGATTTCCATTTCACTCCGAAACAATCCAAATTGGGATCAAATGGAAAAAAGCAAGAAAAAGATCAAGTCCCCAGTGGAAAACAAGCTAAACCTCAGTTTGGAGGCTTTCCGCGAGGGGATGCCAATGATCCCGAAGTCCAAGCTGCAAGAAGGCAATATGCCAGCAATCTAAAGTCGGGATATCAAACAGTGTATTCGGCTGGGGCCGCCACAATTTATGAAGAACTCAAAGGGAAAGGTATTCTACCTGAACCTAAGCCTGTCCGGGTTCCAGAGAAAAAGTTGGATAAATCTCGGTATTGTGATTATCATAAGTTACCGGGCACAATACCGACGAATGCTTAAGCCTGTTAGCTGCTCTGTTAAGACTAATTGGTCACCCGCAACTCCAAAGATTTTCAAAAAATCTCGACATCATAAGAACCGGACCAGTACGTCCAGTAGAATCATACAAAG